CATTAAAAAGCTAACAATGCCACCAGTCAAAGGGAAAAATGGCAGTTCAGGCACAAACGAGCGTTCACTTGCAATCAATTACATTTCTCTCATCCTCAACATATTTTATCTCAAGGAAATGCTTGGATTTGGCTGCGGTAAGTTAACTGTTCTCCAGAACGATTTCTCGCTTGTTCCATTTTTCACTTCTTACTCCAAACAACCAAAGGAACTAAGTAATTGAAATAGGGCCGGAAACCAGATATTTTCGCAAGTTGCACCAGCCAATACCAAGGTACTCTTGAAAATGAATGGAAGTCATTCCTCACAAATCAATAATTAGTTGATTGAATTCCTCTTGGATTCTCACTCCATGTTCTCACTTCCAATGAATCAAGTCCTTGGAGGATCACAAAGTACTGTAAGATCTGATGGTCCTCCAAAACAGTATATGGAATAGTCAGCGACTAAGAAATATCAAATACGGTACTTTGGGAAGTCAAGCCTCCAGAAATCATGTTTTTGAGCCAGCCACAGGGAAGTTGTGACATCTCATCCATATTATAAAGCAGAGGAGAAACTGGTATGAGCATGAAAACCTACATGGTATTATTTGTTTGAAAACAGTGAGTACAAGCCTGATACATCCAATGAACAAGATTACTAAACTAGCTAAAATATTGATAGGACCATTAGGATGAAAGAAATATATACTAGCACTTGCTTAATCTTAAGCACTGTTTCAACTAAAACTAACAGTTTCAAAAGAAAACTTTAAGACAGATGCTATCAGTTTCAGTCTGCACCTGTGACAGTAACATTTATTTTATTCTCCTGTTTCACAAATAAAACCATTGAGCGAAGCTCAGGTAAAAGAGTAAACATTAAGGGACCGATTGGTTACTGTATAAGAGTCCATTTTATTCATGTATAAAAAGTTGTATTAGTTTTACTATGTTTGGTAGAAGTTTTTTATTAGGTAGAAAAGTCAACAAAACTTATACCATGTTTGGTTGGTATGATTCTAAAAGTTGTATAAAAGTTATTCATGTATTAATTTTATACGGTGTTTGGTTACGTTCTTTGTAGTCCTACATAATTAATACCAACATAACTTATGAGGAAATCTATGTACAAGTTATGCAGGGTGAAAGGTGGAATAAGTTATGCAGGTATTAGTTATACATGTATTAAAATAGTAAATTACATATTTACCCCTATTGATTTATTTTTATTTTTTTAAATTGAGAACTTAACCTGACTATATTGCATTCCTATTTTTTTTTCTTTTTTTAACACACGAACAACCTTTATTTTTTTAATTACATTTGGATACCAAATGTAAATATTTTATTAATATTACGAATTGGATGGTATATATTTTGATGGCGCATATGTTAATCATATATTAGCATGATATATTATTAAATATATTTCACATATTTAATTAACATGTATTATTATTTTGTTTAGGACGTGAATTTATATCTAATTCATATATTTGGTGTATTAAAAATGTATAAACAATATATACAATATATTGATAGAATATTTACTATAAATATTATAATGTATTGTAATCTCTACATAATACCATCATAACTAATACCTACATAACTAATACCCGCATAACTAAATCCAACATAACTAAACCCTGTATAACTAATATCTGCATAACTAATACTTGCATAACTAATACCTACATAACTAAACCATGCATAACTAATACCTGCATAACTAAACCCTACATAACTAATACCTGCATAACTCTAACCAGTAACCAAACCCCTAAGGGGTTGTTTGGTTGTTGGTTAGGAGGTGATTTATTCGTGTATTAAATTCTGCACAATTTGTACCATGTTTGGTAGCATTCTTTTGCTATATATAAACTTCAACACACCAAAATACGGTGTTTGATTATCAATTTAGAATCCCGCATAACTAATATTCCCTCTGTTTCAATTTGTTTGTCCTGTTTTGACTTGACAAAGAGTTTAAGTAAAAGAGAACTTTTGAATTTTGTGGTCTTAAATTAAAGATATATAGATCTTGTCACCTTAAACATGTCATGTGGAAAGTTGGAACTAAAAAGATGTCAAAAAAGGAAAGAGACATTCTTTTTTAAACAGACTCATCAGGAAAGTAGGACAAACAAAGGGAGTATTATATAAGTTATGAGTGAATCTATGTATTATTTTATGCAGTATGGAAGATGGAATAACTAATCCTTGCAAACCCTACATAACTAATTCATATTTTACTATTACCTACATAACTCTAACTAGCAATCAAACGATCCCTAAGAATTGATGATTGCATTGACAACTTTTTTTTTTTTGAAACTGGTAACTTGACTGCATTGACAACCTTGACAACCTTAGTATGTGAATCAATCCATTGTTAACTTTTTGACCTGAAATACGCTTACATTGCCTCTTTGGTAAACTTTGTTCTAATACAACAGCTGCTTAGGTACCAAGATGAAACGGAAGAAATGTTTCCGCATTTTTTTTCTCTTGATAACTGCAAAATCCCCGAGAAATGTTACCATTGTTTATTCATACCAAGACTATATCCTCATCCTATTTCAATTATTATACTCATAGGTACATAAATCTACTTTATGACAAAGAGGTTCAGTGTTGGATTAATAGATGAAGAGTGTCACAAAGGCTTAAAGTAAGTTCTACATAGTGGTGGTTAGACCTACTTTGTTGTATGTGGCAGTGTTGGCCAATAAAGAATACACATGTTCAGAAGAAGGTAGCGGAGATGAGGATGCTCAGATGAATGTGTGGGTATACTAGGAGAGATAAAATTAGGAACGACATTATACGACAAGGTTGGAGTGGCCTCCTGGGGGATAAGATTGGGGAAGGCAAACTAAAATGGTTCGAACACGTGAATAGGAGGAGCATAGATGCACCAGTGAGGAGGTATGAGAGGTTGGCTATAGTAGGTTTTAGGAGAAGCAGAGGTAGATCGAAGAAGAACAAGAGGGAGATTATTAGACATGACATGACACATCACATCTTCAGCATAATGAAGACATGATCCTAGATAGGAAGATTTGGAGGTCGAGGATAAGGGTAGAAGGGTAATAGGTAGCTGAGCATTATAAGTATTAGTTAGTATATGCGTAGTATCTTATTCTCCTAATTTTCACTATTACCTGATGTTTCATTTGTTCTATTTATCTTGCTACTTTGCTGCCGGTTTTTTATCTTCCTATTGTGTTTTGATAACATTTGTTTTTAGCTGAGAGTCTGTTGAAAACAATCTCTCTACCCCACAAAGGTAGGGGGTAAGGTATGCATATATCCTACCCTCCTCAAACCCCGTAGGATTACAATAGGTATGTTGTTGTTGGACATATAGGAAGTACAAAGGGAATAATAAACAATGGATCCTCTTTAGTCCCTATGACGCCGTAAGTGTATAAAGACGGATATCATGGAATTTATGAAATTCGGAGAAAGAACGTTGAGACGACATTAGTATGGAGCACGAGGCTAGCAGAGCTTTCTGCAGTGCCAGCTTGATTGTTGTCTTATTTACCGTTTTCTTAGCGGGTGTCCAAGCTCGTGGTCACAATGCCTCCTCCGCACAAGCCATCACTGAGCTGACCAATATGATGGATTGTTTTAAGTTTACTATTTGCAGTTCTTCAAAGACACAAACTTAGGGCTGGAGCAAGAGCCACAAAGGAACCTGTCAGGAACGGTATAAAAAGGACAGACTGAATTATCAGTGCTGGCTTTTCTGCGGTTTCAGGCCCAATCCTTGGGACCTGAATGCACAAATTTCTTAAATGGAAAGGGTTTTCCTGGGCAAGAAACCAACCAACTTAACTTACAGTTTTCAAAGCTCAGGACTACAGCGACTTGCAACTTAACAATTTATGACTTCACCCCAGCAGCTGTGGGAAAGATGTTCCTAAAATATCCATGGGGAAGGAACACACTATTTTTTAATATTCAGGACAGGAATACACTAAAACAGCATCATTATCATCAGCACAATTGTGCTGATGATAAGAAATGCATTGCCTTTATGCCACTGTTAACTACTCATTAATCATAAACAATATCCAATTGGACAAATTCATAATATCGATCATCTGCCACAAACTAGGCCAATGTTGCAACATCTCGATGTACAAGGCTACAAGACAAAGCGTACCAATTAATACTACTGATCAATCAGAATCACTAAACTTAAGGCATCTATTCATATAAAAGCCTTCTCTTCCCCTGTCAACCCCACTCTTTTACCATCTCAAACTGTTCCATCACTTCTTAAGAACTTCCCTGTTCCTCACTCTCCTCTCATGAGATAAGGTACAAATATATTGAAAAAGGAGGGATTATTATCCTTACAAGGACATGAAAAGACAGTCCCTTACATATAACAGGATTACCAAACATTTCCCATTTCTATTCTCTGTTTTTCTTGTTCCTTCAATCTGTCCATGTACACTCGAGCCCTCTCACCCAACTAGCAGTCATCAATATCTTCTTATTATCTCTTTAACTCCCTTCCCATTCAACCAGAAATTATCACCTCCTCCACCATATCTGTTTCCTTCCCTTGTCATGCCCCTACCTCTTCAACACACCTTCCCCCCTCCCCCTATTTAGTCTAGCACCCTCACTTTCCTTTTTTCTCTAACTTCCTTTCATGGCAGAAATATCCTTCCCAATTCTTTATCAGGTTTTCCTCTCCCCTCTCCTCCCTCCCCTTCGATATAGAGAAGCTCCCAATAACGATAGGTTAACACCAGGATCTACTTTGAGTCCTCAGTTTTCCCATAGTTGTGCATTAATTAACCAACAGTATACAAGACGAGGTTTCATGATCCATGATATTTGCAAATAATGTTGTGCTAACTGACAAAACTAGCTAGGGAATCAACCAAAATTTGAACTATTAGGATAACCAGTGTTGCCTCACTTTTTGAAGCTATATGCCGCAAAAACCAAAATCCTGATCAAGGACAGAACAAATTATAGCCAGAAAGTACCTCAAAAATACTGACTATATACAAAGGGCGCCCATGTCAGGTGGTCTTGCATCAGTTTGTTTTGAAGTCGTAACATTGACAAGTGGAACTTTCTTTCCTTGCTTTTTGTCTCTCCGACCCTTTCCATAATCAATTGTATGGTTGCTGAAAAACATACCATTGCATGAGAAAATGAAGAGAATCAGAAATCCAAGTGGCCAGAACATTAAGCTAGTTAGGAAACAGAAGAGGCTGCAATTGAGTATTTTGACTTCAAACCCAACATTATATAGACGATTTTTTAATTTAATCCAAAAGAAAACAGTTGGAAAGATAGATACATGTCTCTTAGCTTTATAGCTATATTTTCATACTTGTGCTGTCAAACTTCATAATTGGAGAGCCCACAAATCCACTAATATATCTTTAGCACAGAGGAGCGCAGTTTCCAAAATTTTCATATCGAAAGCTCTCCAATATATCCTTGTAGACTATTGCAAATACATTGTAGTGCAAATATATGCATAGTAGAAGAAGACAAACACATGCATAGAACAAGCAGAAAGCATCCCACAAGTTACAACAAGCTAACAGCATTGGCTGTAGAATAAAATTTACCGCAAAAAAGAATTAACAAAAGAAACCTCAAGATGAATAGCTTGAGCTTGCTGTATTTTTGGTGTAAACAGGATTTGGTGGGGGAGGTAGATAGCTTAGTGGATTTTAGAGCTCAATTATAAAGTTTTTGCCCAGTTTCGGCTTTTGAAACTACCCCCTGTGGGGCTGTAAATCCCACCTCATCATGCTCTGCTGATGAGTTTTGACGTGAATATAAAGTTACCTTTATCAAAAAAAAAAAAAAAAAAAAAAGAAACCTCAACAACATTTAGGAATAAACAAAAACACAGGTGATTATTGACAACCATACACTGTAAAGCTAGTAGGATGTTTTCCAGCAACTGATCCACAGCAAGACTTGTATTTCTTCTTTGAACCACAGGGACAGGCCTTATTTCTTGGAATTTTCTACACCATCAAACGATGATGAAGCTTTAATTATTTAAGTAACAAAATCCAAGTCAAGTTTCCAATTAGATACGTACTAAAGGAAAACAAATACATTTAAAAGATACAAAAGGATTCAGGTTGTTTTACCTTTTCATCTTCCTGGGAGGTGTGTTCATCAGAAGCTCCTTTTACACTACAGTCAGAGGAACCTTTTTTACAAGGTGAGTCTCCAGATTTGATAGCATGCTCCCCTGGAGACCCTAAAAAGAACGAAAAGTATAAGAAGATAGTGCTGGTACCAACAGTGAAAGCATAGTTGTACCAGTTCTCCCCATCCATGATAGACGCAATAGGAAGGTACTTCAAGTGTTTTTTTATCGGAATGTATCTTGCCTGTCAATTAATGGGCACAACCAAAAAATTATCACTTTTTCCTCTGGCTCTGTGACAAGATTCTGATAGCATTAAGTGGGTTTCATAACATTAAAGATGTTTCTTCCCAACTCAGCAAGCCCTATAATATTACTGGAGTAACTGGTGCATACAGAGCCGAGCTAAGACACATTCAAGCTCACTAAGCACCAAAGCATGAAGGATGGGTTTCCCAGAGTAAGAACAATTATCAAAGAGAACGTAGAAAAGTGTATCCACCTAACTAAAAAGTTATGACAATTGACAAGTAGATGAAAAAGAATACTTCATCTTCATATCTAGCACCCAAGGTATTAAAAATATAGTCTCCTTCTACTATGCATTCAGGCAGCCCCAAAAAGGGGCTACTGTGCAGATGATTGCACGTCGAACATTACCGAGTGATGAGTGTATAGGAGAAAAAGCTATCTACCTAAGTCCCACATCCCTCACTATCTAAGATGGCACATTAGCTTCCCTGTACACAGATTTCTCATAGCAGTTGGAAGATGTGGAAATAGCTATCCAGTAATAGAACCCCCCCCCCCCCCCTTATTTGGCTTTTTCAATTAGGTCAAGAAAGTCAACTAGCAAAGCATAAAGTAAAATGAATGGTTCTCTAGCTACTATAAGGTAAAATTTTGACTACATGTTACATAGCTAAGTTGCTCGGACTCTTCACTTTCAGTGCCACACCCGTGTCGACACGATGTGGGTGTGGGATCCGTACCCGATCTTGGGTATTTTGACCAAAATCGACAGAGATATTCAGGACAGATGCCTATGATTTCCGTAATCAAAACAAAAGCTAAGGTGAATTTAAAGAAAATGGAATACCTTGTATTGAGAAATTTCTATGCAAGTCCTTAACCTTTTATCTCCTTCTGGTTTTCTTCTCTCTATCAATATTTTCTCCTCGGAATAGTTTGTAAGTTCTCCACATAATGTCTCATAATTTGACATATAACTCTATTTTTAGCAGAATTCCCACACCCATATCCTTACTGGATCCATACTCCCAAATCTTAAAATTCAGATTATGTAGGATCCGACCTCTAGATCCACACCTGTATAGGACACCTGCAGCCGAGTCTGAGCAACCTAGTTACATAGTACTGAAATCTGTCCATTTGTTTGAACTAGTTACTATCTAAAGAGCCAAACAAGTTCCTCTCTTGACCACAATTTTTAAAAGTTCCTTCTATTATTTCTAATCCTAAAGTTAAGCCCCGAGTATTACTCGCATAGCTACAAAATCTATAAATTTAAATTAGATTAGTCAACTTGGATAAGATGACCAGGCATCAAAACTCAAAACCAATAGAAGTAGAAAAAAAGGGGAAAAGGAAGAATGTGTCACCAAAGATATTTCACTGTCAATCCTGATTCCTGGGCAAGCCACTACCATATGGACAGAAGTCTGTATTTTTCCAAAAAAATTCATTAAAACTTGAACATCTACCAGGTTGACACGAGTATGTAAGTCATGATGAATAACTAGCCTTCCTGTTTCTATTTTTCATGTGCTTGGGACACCCTGATGATTATGAAAATCAGACTTTACATTGACTGCAATCTCAGCGAGACGCAATATGCATAATTATTTTAAAAGCAAGTGGAAAAGAACTGACTGGCCATTACCTTGTGAAGTGCTTGCCAGAGAAGAAATGTTATCATTTGCATTTAACTGGTCCTCAGATCCTTGTTCTGCGATTAGAAATTCTATTGCAGCATCAACATCACCACCAATTTGTCGTAAAACCTAGAGAAGAACAGATAAATAAGAAACACATATCAAGTACAGAGATCTGTAGGTTTCTTTTAACGCTCAACAAGTTCGACATCATTGACAAAGGAGAGAGCGATCGGCAAATAACCTGCTCCACTTTTTGTTTGTTATCACACCCACTTCCAGCCATCACCATTTTGACTGATCCTACTTGAACCATATTCCGACTAGTATCTCCCTTAGACTTGGCAGCAGCTATAGCTTCACGAGATTTTGCTGAAAGATCAGCATCAGCCTTTAAATAACTGAAGGTTATTAGAATTCTTGCATGAAATCCTAACTCATTGTTATTATATTGCTATTCCTATCACAAAAAAATAAAAAATTGAAATGCTGTAAACCTTGATAATAATTGGGCTAGCTGGTCCAGTGCAAGAATCTTCCCTTAGCCGGATGCTATTGTAATGCTCTCCGTCATGATAAGAACTGACAGTAAATAAGTAAGTCAGGCAGCAAATATGTGCAAAATATACAAAGGGCCTAACAAGTAATGGATGAAGGGGAAAAGAAGCACAGAAGAAATGCCAAAAGATGCTCCTTTTCAAGCCAAATAAGTGGCTCTTGCTTCAGTAGGCAACCAATTATCTCAGAGGATTATAGAGGACACCACTATAATCTAGCTGCGAATAATCAATAATTTATTAACAAATCAGAAGTGGAGGTTAACCTCCACATGATCTGAAAGAGTGCTTTGTTATTTAATGAAGATGGACCAAAACAGTCAGTCAATCACAGTACAGTAAAAAGCTAGAGACGACAGATTCCCCATAATGGAGAAAGAAAGAGACATTAATGAAAAAAAAAAGAGAGAGACATTAATGTTGAGGAAAAAAAGGAGGGGGCCAAGCTTCTCATAAAACTTGAACTGTCTGCTATTTCAGAAGACCATGTCTATCCATATAGGATTTAAGTTTTGCCTTGGAACAAGAGAAAAGAAGGGGTATACTGAATAAAACCTTAAGTCTCTCAAAGAACCAACAAGATAGAATGCTCTGAACTTCACAACTACTTGAAAAGCAAAGCAAAATAACACAGATTAAGAAAAAGTAATTAAAAAAAGTATTTAAAATGAGTTTCTTGTGTTTTCACCGATCCCCTTCCTGTAAGCAACATCAAGAAAAGAGGGGGAGAGACCGAGATATCTATGCAGCAGGATCAAGTACTTAGAAAAATTACATCACGTTTCATGAACTTTTTCAGAATGCTTGTATGTAACAGCTAAAAGAGAATGATCTACATACACCTGTTTTTACTAGCGAAACATCTATTCTGCCTTCTACCCCAACCCCCAACCCCACTCCCACTCCCAGACAAACGAAGACTCTGAAGTGAAGAAATAAACAGCAAGTGTGACAACTAGGAGAGTGCTCATGGAGGAATAAGGTTGCAACACTCAACTGGGTCTTTGACAGAACAGAAGCTTCAAAAAAGAGGAGATAGAACTAGATATCAAGCATTGGGGCATATCGTGCATTAGCACTACAGAGAACTTGCTCATCCACCTTCATGAGATCCTCTTTTTTACTCTAGATGGATGTAGTTAAAAATACAAAATTAGACTGGTCCCAAGAGAAAGTAAACCAAGAGGAAGAATAAAACGACTTTTTAAGTTCAATAAAGTACCAGATTGTCTCCCATTATCCACCGAGTTTAGAAGGTTGTGATTGGTCCAAAGGGCGGGTCACAAACGGATTTCTCGGTTATCAAAAAAAAAAAAGTACCAGATTGTCTATTCCAATTTCCACATAGATGTCTTTTCTTCACCAACAGCTAAAATACTAAAATTCATCTCCCATAAATGCCAATTTTAAATGATCTAAGTGTATTAATGAAAATGAGTCGTATCAGTCCTCCAACAATTCTATCCCAGCTAAAAAACATTCATGATATATACAAACTAAAGAAATTCATGCAGTGGAGGGGCTCTAGACCATACAAAAGCATAAGCAAGTGAAAACTAAAATCTCATATTCTTTCCAACACTTACAGATGAAGCATCCGAGATTCACGGTTGTCAAAATTCTGTATGTACCAGCGAGGTGACATATGCTGTCCACAATGGATTTAAATAATCAGTCAATCAAAAATCCCTTGGACATCAGGTCAGTGCACTAGGAAGTGAGCAACTTTGATGTTTAAAAAACTCGTTGTTCTATATTATAAAAAGAACGCTTATCAGAGGGATAAAGTAGGGGAAGAAGACGTACTCGGTGAATGCATATATTGGTATGAGTAACAAGAGAAGCTGCTTGTAATTCCATATGTCCAGCCCAAGTGCCATCCTTCTCCATGGACTCACAATATTCATCAAATGGTACATCATCTTCAATAAAAGGCTCAAACGTATCACGGTTATTCTGTTAAATATAGATCAACTATTAGTTTACCTTAAAAATTGTTTTGGTGTTCTAAGTACTAGAGTACATGACATACAACAGATAAAAAAAGGCAGCCGGTGCACAAAGCATCCTACGTTAGCAGGGTCCACGAAAGGGACACAATCCAAGAGGTGTGATGTAAACAGACTACCCTAATGCAAGCATTAGTGACTGCTTCCACGGCTCGAACCCATGACCTATAGGTCATACGGAGACAACTTTACGTTGCTCCAAGGCTCCTCTTCATGACGCGTAACAGCAAATGTAGGAATCAAAAATAAAGACAAAAGTTCATCATGTGACATCTGTAATCATATTTTTAAACTTCACCCACTCAAAATTGCATCAATAACAAACAACAACAACATACCCAGTATAGTTCCACAAGTAGGATCTGATGAGGGTAGAGTGTATGCAATGAGGGTAGAGTTTATGCGGACCTTACCTCTACCTTGTCAGGTAGAGAGGTTGTTTCCAAAAGACCCTCGGCTCAAAGAGAAATCACATCTATAACATCACAAAATACAGGATATTCTTAAAGAAAGCATGTGTTTCCTCAATCAGCTCAAAAAATCTATGTTATTTTCAATCTATTCCAGCTTTGCTATTAGTAAGAATTGTGAAAAATATTCATACCTAAAACAGGTTGCAATAAAGTTTATTAGCAATTATGACTACACATTTCTAAATCAAAAGAGCCAGCTGAAAAAAAGTAATATAGATACCAAATATCTAATAACAACACAGTATAGTCCCAAAAAGGGTATGGGAGGGTAGAGTGTACGCAGACCTGATACCACCCTTCTAAAATTAATAATAATATTAATAATAATTTTGCAATAGAAGTTGAAACAGAAGAAATGGCTCCAAAACACAGTCACCAGAGATTCTACCACCCTTCTCAACCCACCCTGCACATTAGTCACAGGATAGATCTACTGTATATATCAAAATAAAAAAATAATGCCACAAGGATGGCTCAGTTCTTCCTGGACAGACTGTGGTATCTGTCAGAGTACAATATAGATAAGACTGACGGAGGTAGCGACTTTGGTGACAAATAATGGGATATAAGCTATGTTGCTCGGACTCTTCAAAATGCCAACGGGTGCGTGTCGGATTTGCCAAAAGTAGTGTATTTTTGAAGAATCCGAGACGGGTGCGGCATCAAAAGTGAAGAGTCCACGCAACTAAGGATATAAGCTCAAATAAGAGAACAAAGGTAGCCCCTTGAGAAGGAAAAAAGAAAAGGGAGTAAAAGTCAATAGCCGTGGATGCTACTTCTTGCCTTGTCAAAATGGAATTACTCCTCAGTAGAATTGCAATTGATCCCATCAAAGTTAGACTCTCAACACAATTAAATATCATGACCTTGCATAATGTTTACACAAAATCATATATCATATCAATCATTTGTGCCTCAGAAACAAACTAGTTGGAATTAATTATATGAACCCTCTGAATATGTCCTCAATCCTCAACTAATTTAGGAGTTTTTGTTTTTTTTTTTTTTTTGATGACAAGGGAAACCCGTAGCCGCTACCCTTTGGGTGCGCATAGGGTAAAACCCCCGCTCCCATGCAATAGCTCGCAAACCACATAGGAGAGGTAACCCGCACTAGGCAAGCCTGGTGCGACGAGCTCGACCCAGAAGGCAAACCCCTTGCTTTCGCTGGCAAGGGGTTTCGAACTTGAGATCTCCAACATGGAAGTCCCAAGCTCAAACCACTGGGCCACCCCAACATTTTGTTTGTTTTAATTAAGGGTTTTTAGAGTATGTTAATAGACTTAAAAAGTGTATCACTTGTGAACAACATTTTAAGCTATATAGTCTGGATAGGAATGTGGAGATCATATCTGATACAGATACCACAGAAAAATGAGGACCTTTTGAGAATAAAACTGGATCGCTCTCCTTATAATATTTTTTTAAGCCTAAATCACCTTATTCTTTGGAATCCAAAAAACAGACAGCTTCAACCTTGCTCCTACCCTTTCTCTTTCGGGATCTGATATGGAACCCTGGGTAGTAACTGTAAACTTTCATGTGTCTGAATCCCTAGTTCAGTCTGATTTTTAGACCTTCTAATCCCTCCTACTATTTATCACAAGCATTCCAGGCTTCCTTTTCTTTGTTTATCTTTCTGATTTTGCTAATTATTCAGTAATCCCTCCAAAATTTTATTTTGACCCCGATATCCCTCTTCTACCTAATTTTTTTCACGCAACAGGATACTCACAACCATAATATAAATGACACCAACATGATAGGTACAGAATTACTATTTCTAGGCATACCCTGAGTGCAACATGCCTTGAATGGACAAGATTGCATGGGAATAATTCCATCTCACTAGATAGTATGTTGAAGCAAAATAAAGTCTTCTAAAGAAACACGTACCCTGATAAATTTTACAGTCATAGCTCGATATTTCTCATGCTCCTCCTCATTGCCTTCCAACTGATCACCTAATGCCCTGCATAAGCACAATGATTTGTTTAGCCTTTATTCCAGCTACAGTTACTATTACATGTATCATGAAAATTCCAAGAAATAACTGGGTATTCAATAATCAATACATTACTTTGATACATTCAGATGATGAACTCACAAGAAGAAGAATCAACTCTGAACTTCAAGAAATGAATGAAAATGATGGAACTCTAGTTCAACAAAACATCATGCTTTTCAACAACCTCTCACCAAGAAATCACCAGAATCCAGGTGGGTGATATTTTCCAAGCTTAGCATCCAAGGGTGTGGCCTAGTAGTCAATGAAGTGGTTGATAACCCTGAGGTCTCATTTCAGAAACTTAGTGGAGACAAAAAAACTAGTTGATTCTTTCCATCTGTCCTAGCCTTGATGGACTTACCTGGTACCTGTTGTTGGTGGTAGGTAGTAGGTATCCCGTGGAATTAGTCGAGGTGCGCGAAAGCTGGCCCGGACACCACGGTCATAAGAAAAAAATATTATCCAAGCTTACAAGATGAGAAAAAAAGAGAAGGAAGAGCAAAAAATACTAACTCTAATTGTTCCCAATGATTAATACAGTATCATAGAATATAACAGGAGTAGGATCTCTTAAGAGATTCCAATCATTCAAACAACAATTTCAAATCCCTCTATGTTTGCAAGAACCAATGGTAGATAATGGGAAGATTGAAAAATACAAAAGAAAACTGGGTATGCCTCAATGTTTTTTCAACTGCTCCAATAAAATCTGGCTTCACTGGACCTCTGAAGTAGATCTATCATTCAAGATAGAGAGCAGCTTGTCCTGATCAAGGCCAACTACCTCAACAACCCTCCAATACGTCTACCATTGTCTATGCTAAAGTCTATGCTAAATGCACAGAGGAACAAAGAAGGGAGCTTTGGCAAGATCTTAAAGAAAGAGCCAATAACATTCAAGGAGCTTGGGGACCAATTGGTGATTTTAAGGTTATTACTTCCAGTGATGAAAAAAAGGAGAAAAAAGTTATAGACCGGAAGAAAATCTATACTTCATAGAATGCCTCAATGATAGTGGTCTTCAAGATGATACACAGGTTCTCCTTATACTTGGTGTGACATCAGAGATCCTCCCATCACCATTTGAAAGAGTTAGACAGACTTGTTTATAACAGTGCTTGGACTGATACAATTTCCAACACATCACTTACTCGTCCAGAGCCTGTCCTGATCATGCTCATCTACTTGTCAAAATAAGCAATGAGATCGCCTCTCACATAAGATATTTCAAATTTCTTAATATCTAAATTGAATACCAAATCTTCAACTCCTTTACTACTATCCCCATTCAAGTGAAAGGACTTATGAACATAGATAGATGGAACCTTCACTCATTTATACCAAGCCAAACCAGCATATTTTTATGATCCACCAAGAGCTCTTTGTAAGTTTTGTATTTTAAGTTAGGGACTAACATCAGAAGTCTCTTTACGAAGTTTGATATACCAAACTCAACATGTAACTTTTTACACATGCAATGATCAACCAATATGTAGAAAAAGGGAAATCTTACTAAGCACAAACCTGAAGAAACAATTTCCATCTGCCGTCACTTGTATAATCTTTAAGCCCAATGCATCAAGCTGAGCTCGAAATTCAGAAATATCAGTCTGCTTTCCGTGCTTTTTAGCCTGTCGCATACAGTAACATACACAAAACAGCACATAGACTGAATATTGATAACAAACAAACACACTCAAAATTTGTGAAGTAAAATCTACTCCTCTTAAGCTAAGTTTGCAAGAAAAATCATACACACCAAGTAATCAACAATGAATTTTTGCAATACCAAACAAATTGAAAACAGTTATACGAATTTGAGGTAATCCAAAATACATACATGAGATTGTTTGTTAGGTTTGGATTTTTGATGCTTCATTTTAGCCATCTCGTCGATTGGTTATTTATCAGTTGGTCTGTCAAACGCAGACCGGCGACTGGTGTTGTGTTACGGTCTCTCTTTTATCCTCCACGGAAAATTGCACACTTCTCGAAAAACCTCTACAGAAAACAAAATTAAACTATTTTAAAAAAAAAAATTAAAAGTTTTAAGTTTGAAAAAATGTTTTTGACCTCTTTTTTTATTTTTTCAAGAAATTTCACTAGATAGTCCTTGTTTAATTTTTTATACTTTTTAAAATGAAGAAGTTATTTTTCCGTTTCAATTTATTTGATATATTTTATTTGATATCAAATTTTAGTTTATTTATTTTTTAAAAAAATTATAATTTTAAACTAGGGTTGTTACTGAGTTGTAATAATTTGGGATACTTACATAAATATACTATATTAAAAAAATATTTACCATTTATAGCAACAACATTTATTTTTCACTTGATCACTTTTAATACATTTATAATACAATTTTAATACACATTACAAAGAACAATTTATTATTCACATATAATATAAGTTTTATTGATGGATAATACATTTATCACACATTTTAATACATTTATAATATAATGTGTCAATTTCTCACCAAACAAGCATAATATATTTTAAAAAGCAGTTATAATACATATATATTGCATAAATAATTCACTTTTAATACATATTGCAGATTTAACATAGTATTGCTATAAATGGTAATAAAAGTATCGCTAAAATCAATAATTATTTATTAAAAGGTACCCATTTAACTAATTTTTCCTAATAATTTCTAGGTTGTGGTTAAGTGTTTTAGTAATTAGTATGAGGTGTGTAACAAAAAGTGAGTTTGACTTATTGGAGAGTAGTTAGAACAATTTTAGTGAACTATTGGGTTAAGGTACTAGAGTTAGTCTCTTAGATTGTTGAGTTGTAATATTAATATGGAACATTGCTCTTTGGAAGTTAGTAATATTTGAAGTAGAAATCCTACAAGGTATAGGTTATGATTTTTTACTCTCTTGAGCAAGAGGTTTTCCATGATAAGTGAGTGTCTTGTTATTTCTGTCTTTCTGCTTACTGCATATTAAGAACCTGGTTCTTAATAGTTCTTTAAATTGGTATCAGAGGGAGTCTTTTCAATCAAATGACAATACCTTGAAAAGGATCCATGTCAACTCCACCAATATCGCAATAAGGCGCTTCACAAACTTGACTCCCCCTTTTCATGGGATAATACTATGGCTGGTGGAAGAATAGGATGATGGATTTCATCATTGGTGAAGATCATGATTTGTGAAACATTGTACTTGGCAGTCCAACTATTTCTACTAAGTTTGACGCTGATAGGGAAATTAGGTTTCCCAAAGGACGATCGAAACTTACACCTGATGATAAGATCGAAGTTCAAAATAATATTAAGGCTAAGAAAATGTCAATATGTGGAATAGATCATAACAAATACAATCGAATATCATCTTGCTCAATTGCGAAGGAAACCTAGAATACTCTACAGACTGCTCATAAAGAAACCAGGTAAAGAAGCCTAAGATTAATGTACTAAATAAAAAGGATGAACTTTTCAAGATGAAGGATAGCAAAACTATTCAAGAGATGCACACTATATTCACATTAATTCTCAACTGATGCATTCTCTTGGTGAGTCAATACCAAGTGGAAAGGCAGTTCAAAAACTTCAAAGGGTGTTGCCAAGCTCATGGGAAAGTAAAGTTAAAGCAATTATTGAAGCAAGAGATCTAGATGTCTTGACCATGGATGACTTGACTGAAACCAGATCACTTACAAGCTTAAAAATAATCAGAAGTATGGAAGTGACTGGTGAAAGGAAAGATAGGAATATGGTGCTAAAAGCAAATAAGAAAAATTACTTTGAAGAAGAAAACATGGCTCTCATAATTAGAAGGTTTCAGAAGATGTTAAGAACATGTAACAACTTTTAGAAAAAGAACCAGGTTCACAAAACTCCAAAAAAAATATCTCGCGAGGAACAAGTATGTCACAAGTGTTGAAGTCCTGATCATTTTATAAAATATTGTCCAATGTGGGAACTTGAATGCAAGAAAAAATTATCTTGAAAAGACACAGGAAACTAGAAAATATCTGAATGTTACCTTATATAGAAGAATGACATCTCAGGAAGTAGCTTGGTAGTAAAGAAGTCTCTGACAACATTAGGTGATGCATCGGGCGGAGAGTCAGATAATAAAGGACATAAAAATCAGTCATTGTTGGTTCTTATGACATTTTCAGAACTAGAGGCAGATAAAGATGACAATGAGACCAAATAAAGAACACTAGCAGTGATTGCAAGCTCTAATTCATATGAGAATGATGAATGTAACACCTTGAAAGTTGGAAAGAAAGTGCAAGAAACTTCACTGAAGCAGGTTCTACGAGTCATATCTACAGACTGTAGGAAGGAAGTTGTAGACCTAGAGTTGAGCTTTTGGAAATTTCAAGTTCTGAAGTTTGACATACGACTTGACAAGACGAACCATAAGAGGTTTGACGAGTGTTGACACCCAATTTTGACCCTCCCCGATAATAATTAATTTTTGAGCTTCTCAATTTTCAAACGATTTATAATAATTAGTTTTATAAAATTTCAAAAAATAAATAAATATAATATAGTTTGCAAGTTATTTTAACTAGATTTGCTACTTCTGCGAGTTTTAAATAATATATATTTCTTTTATATAATTACACATATAACTAGTACATTTTATGAATATTCAAAAATCGCCTCAAAGGTTTTTAGCTCTACTCAAATATTTGGTTAGTTAGTTTAGTAGTTTATATTTTAAATAATTTAGTTTATAATTAAGTTGATTATTTTATTTTGTTAAAAATTAAGAAGCTCATTAATTAATTTGTACTAACTCATCTTATTTAAAACTTTGGCCGAATTCATTAATTAAATTCAAATCGGCTAAATTTTTAACTTCAATTGGTTCTAATTTTTATTTCCTTACACACCTTAAACCCACTTGAGACCAAGTTTTGGGCTATTTTATCAATAATTTTCAGCCCAATTCCATTCCTAACCCACCCAACTCTTACTTCCAATTCCCAACCCACTTTCTTTTCCCACAATACCATGCAATACATAACCCAACATTACACACTTATAACAAAACAAATTACCCCTGGCCCACATATATGCCCAATCCAATACAACAACAATACCAACTTTACGTACAACAACAATTAAAAAATATAAAAATAAAATACCAGCTGTACACCAACAATACATACCATACGTACAACATAAAATAATAACAACAACAGCAATACCATGCGCGACCCCACTTTGCCTCATTCTTCCTTTTCCAGCCGAAAACAAACCCAACAACGTGAATAACTGAGCAATCTACACGGCGCCTATAGGTAGCAGCTTTTTCTGCATCGTCTCCCTCCCAGTACGTTGGTACTGTTCCAGCAAACAGAAATCACACGTCCTACCCCTTTCCTCTTTCGGAATGGGGCAATTTTTGTATGAAAAAGTGTTTAGCCGAAATGGTGAAAGAATTTTGAATTCAATTTTTTGAAATGGAGCCGATTTTCATCCGGATTTCTATCCGTTTCCCCCCTAAAATCTACCCTAATTTCCCCTATATAACATCTCTTCCGTTCATTTGTAAAGGGGATTTTTTTTGGGGAGTAGATTTTATTTTATTTTGAGCAAAAAACATACACAGGACATCTTAAGTAAAAAATAGGAAGTTACATACGAAAAACATTTTTAAGAGAAGCAGAGGAAATAACTAAGGACATTCTAAGCTTCATTCTTCTATTTTTGCTTGCCATAAGTCTGATTGAGGGAGATATCCTGTTCGGATTCTTTGACTACTGTTAGCGTTCGAGTTGTCGTGGTGAAGGCGGAAAAGCTCCCCTACTCCTCGTCCCATTTCGCTGCACGGAATAAGGTAGAACCCTCTCATTCGTGATACCTCCCTCGTTTATCTGTATTCCAGTGCAATGCTACTGGCCATTTGTTGTTTGCTATTTACTTGATATTAAGCTCTAGACGATTTGATACATTATGTTCTTCTTTAAACGATTCCGGCATTTTATCTTAAACATTGATTCAAAATTTTCTTTCGCCATTTCGTAGGTGGTGTTTCTCTGTTTTGAATTCATTTCGCTGCTTGCTTTCTCTTTGTTTTGTTTTAATGTATGGATCTATGTTTTCTTGTCTTCCACTGCCTAGATATTAGGTTTCTTCCACTCTGTTGCTATAATGTTATCTCTTTTCTTTTCGAAATAAGGCAGAATCTAAAAAAAATAAATACGAAATAGTTGGTATGGAGGTTGTATTTGGTTTTATTCATGTTTGTTTAGCCTAGTAGTCGGCTAGGCCTTGACTTGTTGGTTTCGTTTTATTCTCTCACCCATGTTTCTCCTTGTTATTTTATAGCTCATTTAATGATCATTGGTAAGTCTTGTTCTCTACTAACTTCGTCTATTTTTGTCATGCTTCCTGTCCATTTGTTCAGAGTATTATTACCCGATTCTTAGAGTATTTTGTGTAGTTCATCACGGTACTCTCTTGACTTGTTTTTGAGTGTTGAAACACAACTGTTCTTACTTCATTCCATTATTTGGATTTTAAAAAAAAAAATGCGAAAGTTCGTCTCTTATTTTGTCTCGCTGTATTAATATTTTCGGGATGATTTGTGTAGGAACAAAGCTGTTAATTTCATTTTTAAGTGTCATATAATCTGATTTTATTTTATTTTATTTATTTTTTAACTTTATTTTATTTTATTTATTTGTTATTATTATTATTATTTCACTATTCTTAAGAATGTTAAATTATAATATGCATCTTCCTTTATTGTTTGGAGTTTACTGTCAGTGAAGAATGAAAAGATGTTTGTGAGCATTCCGTTAATAATGAGCTAAATATTGGTTTATCATGGATTGTTTTCTAGGATTCTAGTGTTTTCTAGGATTTTAATGCTTTCTCGGCTCTCGCTTCATTTTATTTTGAGTTTGGGTAGTATATAAATATTAAAGTATGGTAGTATGTAAATACTAAAATACGGTAATTATAGATTTAAAATATGGTAGTATAAACATTAGGACACGGCAATAGATAGATTTAAAATATAGTAGTATATAAA